AAAGAGATACCCGAGATAGTTAAAACTACTTCAAAAACCAGACACAAGAGATCAACAAGATAATTAAAACTACTTCAAAAACAATACACAAGAGGTCCCCGAAATTCTTTAAATTACTTCAAAAACCAGACATAAGAGGCCCCGAGATTTTTTCAAACTCTTTCAAAAACTAGACACAAGGGATACCCGAGATACTACAAATTAATTGAAAGCAAAACACAAGAGGTCCCCGAGATGCTTAAAAATACTTCAAAAACCAGACACATGAGGTCCCCAAGATTTTCAAAGTACTTCAAAAACTACAAAAGCTATACCTGAAATTATTTCAAAGTACTTCAAAAACAAGACACAAGAGATACTTTAAACTACTTCAAAAACCAGACACAAGAAATACCCGAAAAACTTAAAACTACTTTAAAAACAGGACACAAAAGGTCGCCAAAAATCTTTCAAACTACTTCAAAAACTAGACACAAGAGGTCCCCGAGATTCTTTCAAACTACTTCAAACACTGGATACAAGACACAAAAAAACCCCGAGATTCTTTAAAACTAGTACAAAAATTAGACATAGGGGTAGCCGTTGTTCTTTCAAATTACTTCAGAAACATAGCACAAGGGATCCCCGAGATACTTAAAACTTCTTCAAAGAACAGACACAAGAGGTCCCCGAGATTCCTTGAAACAACTTCAAAAATTTGACACAAGAGTTCCCCGAGATACTTAACACTACTTCAAAAACCACACACAAGAGGTCCCCGAGATACTTAAACCTACTTCAAAAACAAGACACAAAAAACCCGAGATTCTTTATAACTAGTACAAAAATTAGACATAGGGGTAGCCGAGATTCTTTCAAACTACTTCAGAAACATAGCACAAGGGATCCTCGAGATACTTAAAATTACTTCAAAAATAGGACACAAAAGGTCCCCGAAATTTTTTCAAACTACTCTAAAAACTAGACACAAGAGGTCCCCGAGATTCTTTCAAACTACTTCAAACACTAGACACAAGGGGTGCTCAAGATTCTTACAACCTACTTTAAAACAAAAAAAAAACACAAGGGGTCCCCGAGATACTTAAAACTTCTTCAAAGACCAGACACAAGAGGTCCCCGAGATTCCTTCAAACTACTTCAAAAATTAAACACAAGAGTTCCCCGAGATACTTAACACTACTTCAAAAACTAGACATAAGAGGTCCCCGAGATACTTAAACCTATTTCAAAAACAGATAAAAGACGTCCCAGAGATACTTAAAACTACTTCAAAAACAAGACACAAAAAAAACCCGAGATTCTTTATAACTAGTACAAAATTAGACATAGGGGTAGCCGTGATTCTTTCAAACTACTTCAGAAACATAGCACAAGGGATCCCCGAGATACTTAAAACTTCTTCAAAGACCAGCCACAAGAGGTCTCCGAGATTCCTTCAAACAACTTCAAAAATTTGACACAAGAGTTCCCAGAGATACTTAACACTACTTCAAAAACCAGACACAAGAGTTCCCCGAGATACTTAAACCTACTTCAAAAACAGATAAAAGACGTAACCGAGATAATTAAAACTACTTCAAAAACAAGACACAAGAAACCCGATATTCTTTATAACTAGTACAAAAATTAGACATAGGGGTAGCCGAGATTCTTTCAAACTACTTCAGAAACATAGCAGAAGGGATCCCCGAGATACTTGAAACTACTTCAAAAACAGGGCACAAAAGGTCCCCGACATTCTTCCAAACTACTTCAAACACTAGACACAAGGGATGCTCGAGATTCTTTCAACCTACTTTGAAACAAAAAAAACACAAGGGGTCCCCGAGATACTTAAAACTAATTAAAAAACACGACACAAGATGGCCCCGACATACTTAAAACTTCTTCAAAGACCAGACACAAGAGGTTCCCGAGATTCCTTCAAACTACTTCAAAAATTAAACACAAGAGTTCCCCGAGATACTTAACACTACTTCAAAAACTAGACATAAGAGGTCCCCGAGATACTTAAACCTATTTCAAAAACAGATAAAAGACGTCCCAGAGATACTTAAAACTACTTCAAAAACCAGACATAAGAGGTCCCCGAGATACTTAAACCTACTTCAAAAACCAGACTCAAGACGTCCCCGAGATACTTAAAACCACTTCAAAAACCAGACACTAGAGGTCCCCGAGATACTTAAAACTACTTCAAAAACAAGACACTAGAGGTCCACGAGATTCCTTCAAACAACTTCAAAAACAAAAAAAAAGAGGATACTCGAGATTTTTTCAATCTACGATAAAAATAAAATAAACACGAGAGGTCCCCAAAATACTTAAAAAAAACAAAAACAAAACACCCCGAGATAATTAATGCTATTAAAAAAACACGAGAGAAGAGGTCATCGAAGCACTTAAAATTACTTTAAAAACCAGACACAAGGCCCCCCTGGGATTTTCACAACCTACTTCAAAAAGAAAACACCGCGAGATACTTAATACTATTTAAAAAACACGACGCAAGAGGTCCCCGAGATACTTAAAATTACTTCAAAAACCAGACACCAAAGGTACTCGAGATACTTAAAACTATTTCAAAAATAGCGGCACAAGATGTTCCTGACATACTTAAAACCACTTCAAAAACCAGGCACAAATAGTCGCCGAAATACTTAAAACTACTTCAAAAATCAGACACAAGAGGTCCTCGATATATTTAAAACTACTTCAAACATCATACACAAAAGGTCCTCCAGATACTTAAAACTACTTCAGAAACCAGACACAAGAGGTCCCCGAGGTATTTCAACTTACTTCAAAAACAAAACACAAGGGGTCTTCGAGATACTTAAAACTATTTCAAAAATACGACACAAGAGGTTCCCGATATACTTAAAACTACTTCAAAAACCAGACACAAGAGGTTCCCGTAATTCTTTCAACCTACTTCGAAAACAAAACTCAAGGGATCCCAGAGACATTTACAACAACTTCAAAAACAAAACACAAGGGATGCCCGAGATTTATTCAAATCACTTCAAAAAGCAGACACAAGAGATTTCCGAAACTCTTTCAAACTACTTCAAAAACTGGACACAAGGGAACCCCGAGATTCTTTCAAACTACTTCAGAAACGAAATACAAGGGGTCCTCGAGATACTTAAAACTATTTCAAAAACCAGACACAATAGCTTCCTAATAGCTTCCTGAGAGTCTTTCAAACTACTTCAAAAACAAAAAACAAAAGGTCCCCGAGATTCTTTCAAACTACTGCAAAAACTAGACACAAGAGGTGCCCGAGATTCTTTGAATCTACTTCGCAAACAAATCACAAGGAGTCACCGTAATACTTAAAACTACTTCAAAAACAAAACACAAACTGTCTCCGACATTCCATCAAATCACTTCAAAAAGCAAACACAAGAAATCAGAACAAGTGGCAGCCGAGATTCTTTCATAGTACTTCAAAAACAAAACAAAACAAAATTGTTCACCGAGATATTTAAAACTATTTCAAAAACACGACACAAGAGGTCCCCGAGATACTTAACACTACTTCAAAAACCAGACACAAGAGGTTCCCGAGATTCTTTCAACCTACTTCGAAAACAAAACTCAGGGGATCCCAGAGATTCCTTCAAATCATTTCAAAAAGCAGACACAAAAGATCTCCGAGACTCTTTCAAACTACTTCAAAGACTAGACACAGGTGGCAGCTGAGATTCTTTGAACCCACTTCGAAAACAAAACACATGGGGTCCCCAAGATACTTAAAACTATTTCAAAAACCAGACACAATAGGTTCCCGAGATTCCTTCAAACTACTTCAAAAACAAAAAACAAAAGTTTCCCGAGATTCTTTCAAACTACTTCAAAAACTAGACACAAGAGATGCCCGAGATTCTTTGAACCCACTTCGAAAACCAGACACAAGAGGTCCCCGAAATACTTAAAACTACTTCAAAAACAAAACACAAGGGGTCCCCGAAATTCTTACAAACTACTGCAAAAACTAGACATAATATACTTCCAATGGCGGCTCCTGACCTTTTTGAACTGAGGGGACACATTTTGATTGATAAGTTAAATCTGAAGACATAAAACAGGCTGTTATTAACAATTAACAAAAACACGAACAAAATTGTGTGAAGAAAGTAAATACAAAAATACATTCAATAAAAGTAGTGTGTCCACATACCTTTGGTTTTAAATCATTACTGAGTAGACACACAAAACAAAACAATTTATTATTTTATTCACAACCACACATCCACAAAAATGTACCATACTTGTTACGTCTATTAAAATATCTGTGAAAGTCTGTCGTTTTTTTCACTAAAATTTTCCCGCGTAACACAGAGGACGATTTTTTTATTTAATATTCACCTGAATTCATTATTTTTATTTAAAATTAAACAATATTTCACTCGCGCAGAATAAAAATGAAAGCCCGCAACTAAGTTACTGCTAATGGTCACAGGACCCGATATCAGACAAATACAGCAACTAAACGCACGATTTCCATGGCAACCGTGTAAACAAAACGTTTAAATGAGTCATGATTTATCAGCGCTTCAATAACATATCATATATCCAAGACACAACAATAATTATAATTATATAATTTGAAGCAGACCGTAGAAACATAGAACAGTAAACACTAGTCCTGCAACAAAAACTCCTATTACGTCTCCCAAAACGTAAGAGAACCACGAAATATCGACAACGAGACTCCTCAAATGTGGAGCTCCTTTATGACGAATGATGTATTCCGTCCACCAAATAGCTTTCTCCGTTGAAACTATAGCCTTGTCGAGTAAAATTTCCCGAATTTCCACAACTCTGTCTCTATATCTGCAAAATTTAACTGTCTCTAAACTCCAAACACGTATTTAAAGAAAATTACGTTTGGTTTTCTGCAACTTCGACAACACAATCTTTCAGTTCGTCTGGAGTTACGGTCACTGGATTCAGTGCTTTTCCAATTCGTTGTTTGACGAGTTTGTAGACGTTCATTGGTTGGTCTGCCAGGAATGGTAGCGCTACGAGTGGTACCCCTGCAGATATAGACTCTTCCAAAGACTGTAGACCTCCTTGAGTCACAAACACCTTCAAATTTGGGTGTTCTACAAATCCTGATTAAGTAAAGAGAGGTTTTGGTGTTTGCTCACCTAGAATTTGTATTTGAGGTAGCCACTCCCTACATAGAATGTTGGTATAATTATGAATCAAAGAGCTACAGTTCCATTTAATGATCACTTTGTATGGTACTCGAGCTAAGCCTTCTAGAATCGTTCGACCTATTAAAGAACCTTCAAGGTGGACCATCGTGCCTAAACTAAAGTAGACCACACCACTTTTAGCCTCATCTAGAAATGTTTGTAGATCTTCTGTCAAAGTTTCTTTGGATTTAAGTCCCATTAGTCCCAATTCTAGTACCGCTGGCACATTTGGTCTAGGATCATACACCACTCGATTAACATTAAGGAGCAACAACTTCACACTTTTTTTCCCGTCTAGAGTGTCTCCTATGTCGTACCCAAACACCGACTTTGCTAGTACTGCACCACGTGCTAGTACCACAAACTCGTACCAAAATCGTGACCACAAATTCAATAAAAACAACTCGCTTTTGTGCCACAAGTCAAGATCTAGGTGGTGCAAAGTTACGAAAAATTCTCTATACAAAGTGGGGTGGCTTGGATTACCCACCACGTCTTGAAAAACCGTTAGAGCTCCAAAAGACGATACACAAACTGTGGGGGCTTGAAATTTCCGGGATAGGCCATACAGAACTGGGTAAAAGCATTCCAGGATAATAAGGTCAAAATTTTCGGCACGAGTCTCTAGGAAGTTTTTGAATCGTGGGTGGTTGAGTGCAGTCTCGGCTATGAAGTCGAAGTAATTAACAATGTTGTGGAAATCTTGAAACATGTTGATTTCTTTGGACAAAAAATCTGGGGGTGCGTGTTGTGTGTTGTCGTGCTGGAAGCTTATGTCAATTTCGGTTAGGTTGGTTAGGTTTGGGTCGTTTAAGGGGAATGTAGTACAGACGGTGACTTCGTGGCCTCGTAAGGATAGTTCGTACCATATGGGATGGAAGACTTTTTGGTGGCTGTATGTGGGAAACAAGGACACTCCTAAAATTCTAGCACTATGGGCACAGGGGACAAGTGGAAGGATCAACAAGAAAAAATACATCACTTTTTGGGTTTTTGTAGAAACAAGGAGGTTGTTTTAATGGTGGCTGTGTAAAAACTAGTGCATAATTGTATGAGTAGTAAGTACATTGGAAAGTGCGCATATAGTTTGAGTTTAATTACCTATGAGGAAATTCTTATCCGGTAGCTGACACATAATTTTGAATTTTTGAATTTTAATTTGTTACTAAGTATAAAACAACTTCCACTAATAAATAGTCGTACCAAGAAAAATCAACTGTGGCAACAACGAATTCCGACCACCAAATGACCTTTTCCAGTCCAGTACTTGGCTTGTAGTCCAAAATATCACGAATTTCCTGAATTCTTTCACGGTATCTAAAATTGTTGCCGGTATGATATGTTCTTCTGTTGATCTAATTTCTTTCTCTTGAATGAGCTCTTGATTTAGTGTGTTTTCTATTGATTGAATCAGAATGTTGGTGTTTGGAGAATTCTTACAATCAACTTCTGGATCCATTTTTCTCGATTCAGATGCAGATTATATTTACGTAAGTCTATAAGACTCTCTAGGAAAAGGCTAAACTTAGCTCCACCCACTCACCCGTTCTGTAATTTTTTTTCTTCTGAAATAAGAAATAATTCTTATAACATATAACAAAACAAAAGTCACCAGTCCCACTCTACAGAAGAACAAATAACTAACCCCGCCCACCCACCCGCCTACATTTCGGTATATAATTTTATCTGCTCTGAATAAAAAGTGGATCTTATGCAGAAATAAAATTAGGATAAGACTGGCTTTGGCAAGTCACATATCTTTAAAAAAAAACGAGGGCGGGTGGGTGGGGCTAGTACTTGCAACGATAAGACTGAACAATATTAAGAGTAGTAACTGGAGTGAAATGGGTGAAGGTGGTGCTTGGCTATAAAAAACTCTAGAAAAAAGTTAAAATTGGCCCCGCCCACCCATCCGCTCTCCCATTAATTTTTCTTTTGAAATATATTGTAACAATAATAGTAGAACAAAAAAAGTTACGATTAGAAATTTTGAGATTTTGAAAAAGTTGATCAAAAATGTAAGGTCTTTGTGGTCTCGGATCACGATTTTCGATTCTTTCTCTTTTTGTTCTTTTTTCACTCTTTTCTTGTCCACTTTTCTCGAGCCCGTTGTGCTTTTCCCCCGTTACTCCTCTTTTCCGATTTTTCTGATTCGTCTCTTTTTCTCTAATTTTTCGTTCTTTTCTTTCCTTCTCTCTCTTTGCCAATACTTCTTTTTACTTCTCTCTTCCCCTTATTTACTCTCTTTCTATCCCTTCTCTCTATACCTCACTGTGTGCCGTTGTCTCAATTTTTTCTATCTATATTTTCTGGCTTTCTTTCCCACATTTGCTCCTCTTTCCTTCTTCCCCGGCTTTCTCTCTTTTCATCCCCTATTTTCGTCTTTTCTCTTTTGTTCTCTTTTCACTCTTTTCTTATCCACTTCTCTCGTGTCCGTTCTGTTTTTCCCTGTTACCTACTGCTGTTTTCCCCTTTTTTTAATTCCTTCGCTCTCTTTGCCAATACTTCTTGCGTTTCCTCCTATTAGTCCTCCCTGCCTCATTCTTATTTGCTCATTCTGTTCCTTCTTTTGTAGCTTTCATCTCTCGCTCTTCTTCTCGTCTCTTTACCTATCTTCCTCCCATCTGTTCTCGCTTTTGAGGTTCTTTTCCCTTCTCCTTGTTTCTCCCCCTGTTATTCGTCTCTTCTCCCTACTTTAACCCTCTCTTTATAAGTCGTTACGCTTGCATATGTGGCGTTCTCTCAATTTGTCTCCCCACTTTTTCCCCTCTTCTCTCACTATTTTCTTCCTCATTTGTCCCTCTATACTCCCCCAGCTTTCTCTTTTCTTCACCTCTCTCTTTGTCTCGTCTTTTCTTTTGTTCTCTTATTCACTGTTCTTTTTTTCTCCCTGCCCAATCTCTGTTACTTCCGTTTTCCGTCCTCTTTCTTTCCGCTTTCGTCCATTCTCCTTTCCACTATCTTTACCAGTTCTTCGTTATCTTCTTGTTACTCCTCACTTCCCCCTTTTTTTTTCTTTCTATTCCCATTTCCTGGCTTTTTCGTTCTCTTTGTTTCTGCTCCTTCTACTCTTCTCTTGCCCCTACTTACTCCTTCTTTCCACCCCTTTCATTGTATACCTCTCCACCATTCTCTATGTACAGTTTTGTCAATTTCTCTCCCATCCCCCACCTCTTCTCTAGTTTTCCCACCTCTCTATATTTTCTGGCTAGCTCTTTCACACTCTTTCTTCTCTTTTCTATTTACATTCTCTCGACTTTCTCTATTTCTCTCGTCTTTTCCACGTTTGTTCGTTATTTTTCCTTTTGTTTTCTTTTTTCACTGTTTTTCTCCATCTTTCTTTCTCTCTCTTTGCCCTATTATTTTCTCTTTCTGCCTTGTTTTCTCTACATTTTATCTCTCTTTCTCCTTCCCTTTCCCCTTTTTCTTGCCATCTTTTCCGCTTTTACTTGTTCTTTTCCCTTCTTTTTGTTTCTTCTCTTATTACTTCTTTTTTTGTGCTACTTACTCTATCTTTTTGTGCCTTGCTCTCCATATCTATTCTTCTCTATGTGCCCTTCAACTTGACTTCTATGCCCCACCCCCACTTTCTCTTTTCCCTGTTCTCTCTTAGAATTCATTACTTTCCCAGTTTACAGAAGAACATATAACTAACCCCGCCCACCCACCCATCTCCATTTCGGTGATTAGTTTTATCTGCTCTGAATGAAAGGTGGATCTTATACAGACATAAAATTAGTCGCTAGAATGAGAAAAGAGAGAGTAGGCAGGGCTAGTACTTGTTAAGATACGACTGATTTTGGCAAATCACATACCTTCAAGAAAACAGAGGGTGGGTGGGTGGGGCTGTTGCTTGCCTATAAGACTCTCTAGTGAAAAAATAAACATAGCCCCGCCCACCCACCCGTTCCCTCATTTTTTTTCTTCTGAAATAAAAAATAAATCTTATAACAAATAACACAACAAAAAAGTCACTATACAGAAAAATATATAACTTAACTTTTTTTTTAATCACTCGTTGCAAAAAACTGGCTTGTATTTAACAGTTTAGATAATTTTTATTTCATTGAAATGTCATAATTGAAAATTATTCTAACACAAAATAACAATAATGTCTTTGTTTTTTAACATTGTAAATTGATTAATATCTAGCCAATGCTGTCTATTATCTGTCTATAAATAAGCGGCAAATAAATATTCCAATGCCCGCTCCAAACATATTTTTTATTGTATACTCGTTTTTGACGGACAGCAAGCACTTAATTCGATGAATGTTGTTGTTTATGCGCCACGAACATGAAAATTACTATCAGATACTATAAATCCTGTCTAATTTATAGGGTTTTTAAGTCAACTACTAAACTATCGAACGATATTAGTTGTTTCCAAATGGTATTATTTCAAGTTTATTGTTTCCATAATCCATTAATTATTGTTAGAGTAAGAAAAGTGGGTGCCTTAAAGGTCGTGCACAGTGATAGATGGAACATTAATTTCTTATTCGTGTTCGTGTGTAAGTACGTAGTTGGCTTTCAACACCATGAAATCATTTCTTTTGCGCAGAACATATTATTAATTTGATGGTATCATTTCCATGTTTTTGTTTTTATAAAATAATGGTGTGGTGTATGAATCCGAGTTGAGTTTCTACGCTACACGTCCAGATTTTCGGGAAAAATATAAAAATCGATTAAAAAAATTTACGTTTATCGAATAATTGAAAAATGGAAAAATTCTAAACTGGTAAAAATTAGGAGTATAATTTATTTATTATTCGGGAAACTATTAAATCTAAAATTGTAACAAAGAAAAACTAAAAGTTGAAAAAATTGAAATTGAAAAAATAAACAAATTATGAAATCGAAAATATTGAAAAATAGAAAAATAGTAAAAATAAAACAAATAAAAAACAGAAACGAAAAATTGCAAACCAGTAACTTGAAAAAAGGGAAAGTTAAAGAATCTCAAAATTGAAAAATTAAAAATTAAAAACTTGAACAATTTTCAATAAAAAATTACAAAATCCAAAAACTGAAGAAACAAGAACAATGAAAAATTGAAAAATAGCACTTCGAAAATCAAAATATTATAAAATCAGAACATTGAAAGATCAAATAACTGCAAAAAAAATAGAGAAAATGGAAAAAAACGAAAAAGTGCAAAATTAAAAATTGAAAACTCTAGAAACTCAATTCGAAACACAGCAAAATTTAAAAATTGAAAACTCTTGAATTAGGAAAAATTTATTTTTTTTATTTCCTACTTTTTTTGGTGTTTCTTGAATTTTTTGATTTTTTATTTTTTTGGATAATTTTGAATTTTTAGAATTTGTGAATTTTTTGTTTTTTTTTAATATCCTTGGAATTTTTGAATATTTTTATCTGCTTGGAATTGTACCTTTGGACTTTCTTAACTTTTTGGATTTTTTGGATTCCTATTCGAATTTTTGTGAATTTTTTGATTTTTTGTAGTTTTTCGGATATTTTGTCATTTTTGGATTTTTTGGAACTTGTAGATTTTTTAGATTTAGATAATAATTTTATAATTATTCAAATTTTTAATGTTCGTTTCCTCGACTTTTCATTTTATAAACGAATAATTGAAAAATTGAAAAAGTAAAAGAGTGACTTAAAAATAATAAAAAAAAAAGATAAACCGAAAAATGTTAGGTTTTTCTTGGATTTTTGGAGTTTCTGAAATTTTTGGATTTTTTGTTTGGATTTTTATTGGAATTTTTTAAATGTTTGGATTTTTTTGGATTGCCTCAAATTTTTGAATTTTATGTAATTTTTACGTGTTTTTGGAATAATTGGAATTTTTGGATTTTTTGGATTCTTTTTAATCTGCTTGAGAATTTTTGTAATTTCTGGGTTTTTTGAAGTTTATGGAATATTGGGATTTTTTTGTGTTTTTTGGAATCCCACTGGAATTTTTAGAATTTTTGATTTTCAACTTTTTAATTTTTCGGATTTTCATTGGATTTTTTTGAAGTTTTTGGATTTTTTGAAACATTTTTGAATTTTTTTGACCTTTTGAAAATGAAAAATTATAAAGGCGGAATTTTGAAAAATAGAAAAATTAAGAAGATAAAGAAAATAAAAATCCGAAACGAAAAATTAAAGAAGCGAAAAACTGAAAAAATTAAAATGAAAAAATAAAGAGTTTTCAATGTTTCAGTTTCATAAGTTTTCGTTTTCTCAATTCTTGAATTTTTAGAATTTTTGGTTTCTCTTGGATTTTTTTAATTTCCATTGGAATTTTTGGATTTTTTGTTTTTTAGCGGACTTCTTTTCTTAATTTTTGGATCTTTTTGGGTTCTTTCAATTTTTGAAAATTTTCGCACTCTTAGAATTTTCCGAATGTTCGAAATATTTAACTTTTTTATTTTCTATTTTTTTTTTTTGGATGTTCGGAATTTTTAGAATTTGCGAATTTTTTGTTTTTTTTTAATATCCTTGG